TGCACACTGACACCCTAGCCTTCCTGAGTCACAGAAACCTTGAAGAAGACTAAACACTTACAGCAACCTTCAGAGACCTTTTCACAAGGAACCTTGAAAGCTGTCTACTTATTAAGACATCTATGTTATCCTAGGCCCCAGAAACCCTGAACCCTAAGCTAAACCCACCAAGAAACCCGAAAGGCTCAAGGCGGCGGTGGAGCGCGGCCTCAGGAGGAAGGTGCTTACAACTGCGTGGGCTGGGTTTATGTTTGAAGTTTGAGGGTTTGGCTTCATGTTTCGGTATCCCTTTTTTGCTCGATTGTTGAACGGCTTCTAGAGTTTAGTTATCGGAGACTTACCTCAGAACGGTTCAGGTTACGATTCAATCCGGTTGAATAAATAGATTGCAGGGTGTTTTGGTTTGGGTTTCGAACTTCTTATTACCGTTTCGGGTTGAGCTTGTTGCAGCGACCCCATGTTCACGAACAGCACCGGGTCACAGTAGATCCGGTTTCGGCGAGACCACCCCCAGGAGATGGGCATAGGACTCTGAAACTACCGCCAAGAAGAGTACAGAACCAAAGCCACAAAACACATTTTGGTTTAGCACTAAACTTTACCCTAAACCCGCAACCCTAAGCCCTACTGTAAACACTCCCTCGACCCTTTATTCTAGCACTGAATCCTGAAGCGCGAAATCTAGACCTCGAACTATAAGCCCTGCCCCAAGCTCTATAGACTCTAAACCCTAAGCCTTACCCGATCCTCGAAAGCCTACTCTAAAGCTTGAAAACCCTAACAGAACTATCACTGGCCCCACTCCCGAGGCGCTTCAGAGGGCGCCGCACCTCGCGCCGAAGCGGCAGCAAGCGAGCAAAGGGCTTTGCCCGAAACTAGAGACTTGTTGGGCTTAAACCCTAAACCCTAAAGCCCAAACCCAAGAAGTCCTGCTTTTGGGGGCTCCTTAACTTACATGATTTCCTTATATAAGTCCGGCTGGTTATTTTGGGATTTCAAAGGGCTGGTCCTGGAGACCCTCTTGCACATGAGGGGGTAGAAGATCTGTTGGCAAAGAGCTGGTATAGGGTAGTTTAGATTCCGAAAAGGTAGCCTGACGAAGAGGTGAAGATTTAGGGGTAGTTCTCTGGCGCAGGGACATGTTGGGACTCATCAGGAATACTGTAGCAGTTAGAGTGGCTCCGATGTTGTGTTCCTCCGCAGACAGCGGTATGCTCTTGCGTTTCTTCAAGCCGTACGTACCTGTTTTGGGTGCGTCTATAAAGAATCGGTGTCGACGGTCGTGTGCTTTCTGCAGCTTGCTCGGAATTGGTGTGGTAAGTTTGAACGGCAAGCCCATTACGAGCTCACCGAAGTTGTCGCTGGAGCGCATTGTGTTCATTTTTCTCTCTTGTTTCTTCGTATGACCGTGTGTGAAGAGAAGTCGAGAAGTGTGTCGATGATGATCTTTAACATAAGACAGAAGTTGGGATTTGTTTGCTTCAGTCGGAATGTCCTGTGCAGTATTGTTTGTCAATGGGCATTTAGCAAAATGTAGCAGCTCAGCTGAAAGGACTCCAATCCGGACATGCAAAGAAATTAGTTGAGTGACTAGCTGTAGGATTGCCTCAGGAGTATGATCATTTGAATTCCGACCCCCGACTTGATTGGGGTCTATTCCTGCAGAAATGTTCTGGCCACATTGAGAGGGGTCTGATCTCAGTTTCCCGGAGCGCTAAACTTTAAACCCCGAAGCCTGTGTGACACGTGTCGAGAGTGGCACGGCAGGACATTGCAAAAGCCGATTGTTAAAACTCTGGAAATAGATTCCGGAAGGGATATGAAGGGTAGCTGTAGATTAGAAGAGTCCTGAACTGCATGTTATGATTGCAGCGAGGTGCTGCTGTCACCCGACTTCTATCACAAGGCACGGCCGGGTCCTTTGTTTTGGGGTTTCGGTTTGGGGGTTGAGGGTCTAGGCTCAAGCGAAGGCTTGCGCGCGATTATTTCAACATAAGGCTGTTCCCGGTTATCAACTCGAGATGCTCACCGCAGTATAAAGACTTCCTGCTAGTTGCTGGCAAATCGAAGATGCTCTGAATGTCTGCTTGCTACTTGCTGTTTTGAGTCGCTGTACCGTAATTAGCACATCTCTGATGTCTTGAGATCACGGCGGACTCTTCACAAATTCGAGTCTTCAGGGCCACAGGTCCTTGCGAGAGTCCGAGTATATCCCGTGCTGCGCCAAGCTACAGGCTCGGAGTACTACAGCCCCTCTTCAATCCTTTACCCAGTCTTTGAGGAACCACTGAGAATGCCGTGTGAGCTTTCTGTTGATGATATAAGTCCTGCACTACCTACCCATAATGAAGGAATATAATAACATTACTCCCACAGTTCAGAATCCTTCAGGTAATGCAGGATTTAGATCATCAACCGTTTCCTCGTGTGGAGGAGCTTCGGCCCATCCTCGCCGAGTGGGCATTGATTTGGATTCGCCGCCGGTCTGCGCTGTCCAATCCTCAGGACAAACAAAGACACCTTGCCCAAAGGCTCCATGTACCTTATCTATAGCTAGATACTTAAGCCTTAAAGGAGCCCCTATGTATAGGTACTCTAAGTATATACTATATGGGTACATGGAGCCTTAGGGTTAGTTCCACACTTCATAGTTCAAGGGGTGAGTCGGCTTTACGCCGCTTGAAGAGTATGTAGGGACATAATATAGTTTCTTGTAAGGCTGCCTTTGGGGATTCAGAGTCGACCCTGCTCTTAGGTTGCCTCCTTTGCTGTTTCAAGCATCCGGGCAAATTAGGCCGGTTAGGCAAATCTAAACCCTAAGCCCTGAACGCCTAAACCCTAAACCCTACACCCCTAAGCCCCTAAACCCCCAAACCCTCAACCCCTAAACCCTAAACCCCTAAACCCTCAACCCCTAAACCCTCAACCCCTAAACCCTCAACCCCTAAACCCTCAACCCCTAAACCCTCAACCCTTAAACCCTCAACCCCTAAACCCTCAACCCCTAAACCCTCAACCCCTAAACCCTGAACCCCCAAAATTTAAACCCCTAAAGCCTTTTGGACTCAGGTTTCCCGGCCCCAAGCCTGAGACCTAAGCCCCAGGCCGGATCAACCCAAGCCCCGAAAAAACAAAAGGCCATAAGTCGGAGCAGACCCTGCGATCAGCTTCTTATGCTTGGGGGTTCATGGGTAGTTATAAGTAGGGTCATAAGTCTCCTAATATCGGTTATAAGTTTAGATGCCCTCATTATAAGCCTACTCATCACTACCCATGAACCTCCAAGTGGAAGTGGGGGCTTCTTTGTGGCGGTTTAGGGCTTTAGGGGTGTAGAGGTTTACGGGTTTCAGGGTTTCGGGATTTAGGGGCTTAGGGTTCAGGTGCTTACTGGCACTTTCCGGGATCAACGCAGGAATCCCAGCCCAGCAGAGTGGGACGGTCATGCAGCCTGGGTCTCGCAGGACATCTCGTTCCAGACTCCTCGCAAGCTCCAATGGCAGGGCTACTCTCGACATTTAGGTTCCTGCTGGCGGACAGTAGCCAGTAGTCCCTATGCTAGTGTTTAGTGGCCCTTGCAAGATTGGTCTCACGATGGCGCCCTGCCTGCATCCTGAACCTTGCTGGAGAGCCTAAGGTCTCCCGAACTTTCAATGGCATTGATCCCCAAATCCGAGTTCAATAGCAAACGTATATAGACCCGTACTTATGAGAAGATCGAAAATCGTAAACCTAACCTTGAATTGTGGGCTTGGTCTATGTCGAATGTGATTTTTGGTCGTTTACGATTCGGGGCTTCGGGCTCAGGGTTGCGAGCTTTACCTATACTAGGACCCAGAGTAGGCCCTTATTCCCTTTTTGGGGGTTTCGGTTCCCTTATAACCCCCTTTAAACCAAAAAGGGCACCCTTTTTATTCCTAGGTTACTCTTAGGTCTAGTATAGGGTGTGTGATCCACCTTGCCTTCTCTCAGATGTGTTCTCCTGTCCTTCCAGCATGCAAAGGGTCATGCGACTTAGCATCGTTACAAAACTTGCACTACACCAAACTACGGCCACAATCAAACATGAGTTCTCGTTATTTTCAGCCTCCTGTGATGCTTCAAGCAGACCCTAAACCTTTAACCAGGAATCCTACTCACTAAGTCCCCTGATGCTTCTAAGCAGAGGCCAGTTGACGACACGGTTCTTCGCGAATTGCTTTGCGCCGCAGTCCTGGCTGTAAACAACTTGAGGCTGAATTTTAATGCCAGGGCGTTCACATTGTCAACAGGGCTTGATGTACAGTGTTACAATAACAGATGGATAGGGTTTCGGGGTATGGTAATACAGTGAGAAGCTTTCAGGAATACGATTGGTAATTTTTCTGGTTTCTATATTGTCCTGAGGGTTCATGTGCCTGTGCGGTCTACACTGTGGCTTCAGCGTGCTTGCTAATTATACAGGTACTTCAGGGTCAAAGCATATTGCTGTTGGGGACCTTGTTGAGGTCATAGGCCCCGGTCTGGTTGGTTCGTAAGTCAACTTGACAATGGACATGCGCGACTGGTGAAACGCACCGCAGTTTCTTTTGTTTCTGCAGCCCCCTAGAACCCACATTCTCACACCCCTAAAAGTCTCAAGAACTCTTCCATAGCCGTTCGCTTTGTTACGAGACTTGGGAGTATTTGGGAGAACTAGCTGCTTTGTATTGCTGCAAAACAGGGTCCTACATAAACAACCAGACAGCCACAGCAAACCAGCAAGTTCCGAGGACCCTAGGGTAAGTGTACATAGACATACAAACATATGTATATGACATGCATACGTACATGATGAATCATTGCATGCATAGATGCACGAACACATGTGCACATGCGCATGTGCATGCAGTACGATACATTATATCATGTTCACAGTGCATACATCCGCACACACATACATATATGTATAATATACACACCTAAGCAGATAAACACGTGTGTAAACGGTTCAGGCCGTTGCAATTCATCGAAAGATTCGGGTCATGCTCAAGCTGAACACAACTCTGGAAGGTATCCTGACGAACAGCAAAGGCGACTTTGCTTTGTGTGCTGAAGATGCTGCACAATTCCAAGATGCGACAATGGGCTGGCTTCTCTTGCAAAAAGAGCTGCAGGATCATTTCTCGGACAGCGATGTGCCCTTGTTCAATGTGACAGAAAAGAGCCATTTTATAGAGCATGCTGCCCTCCTTGCCCGCTACATCAATCCTCGGATGGTGTGGTGCTTCGCAGGGGAAGATCAACAACGTCGGACCCAACAGCTGGCCGAGACGTGCATGAAGGGCTTGGGCCCGGTGAAGGCCAGCCTCAAGATGATGTCGAGGTATCGTCTCGCTTTGGCTCGGCTGTTCAGCAAGCACGGGCACGTGTGAAAAACTGAGCCTTCCGATTTGTTTGCAAGTTGCGACTTCCAATTTAGGGCACCTGTGTGTGTTTCCCTTGGACAGGTGTGTGGCGGCTCGGCAACGACATCAATACCTGTGGAGAGAGCTACCTATAGAGAGAACGGAACACAGACACACACACACACACACATATATATGTATATATACATATATACATATATACATATATACATATATACATATATACATATATACATATATACATATATACATATATACATATATACATATATACATGTATACATATATACATACATACATACATATATACATATATACATATATATACATATACACATTATATATATATACATATACATATATACATATAATATCGAACTAAATATAAGGAAAACTATTCACATAAACTCTATATCCCCATGCAGAACCGCAGCATGCCCTAAGTAGGCCCGAAGCCTATGCCCTAAGCTGTAAACCCTAATTAAACCTTAAGCCCTAAACCCTAAACCCAATTAAACCCTAATTCCAAAATCCCTAAGCCCTAAACCCTGACTTCGGGGAGTTCTAGCTGTACCTGCAGGTGGAAAAGAGCCCATTAAAAACAAAAACATCTGACTTGGAGTCTTCCTTCGGGAAAGCCTTGCTTTTGAGGCCGAAGGAGCGGAGAAGCTCTCGCGCTCTTCGTCCGAGGAGACCCACAGGGTTGAGTTCCCAAAGGGCCTTAGGTGCCCCTAAGGGTTCGTCTAATTAGGGGTACTTTATTTTGGGTGTCCTCATAATAAGGATCCTACTATTCAGGGTACTACTGTCGATGATATAAATCCTGCATTACGCATAGTAAGGAATATCTGGGAATTATGCTATATTCTTTGTTATGGGTCATGCAGGATTTATATCATCAACAGTAGGTGCCCTTAAGGCTTCGTCTAGATATTCCTGGAAGGGCTTATTGGGTGTTTAGGGTTTAGGGGTTTAGGGGTTGGTATGAACTTGGGCCCTGCAGAACCAACATAGGGACTACTTTCAGACCCCCAAAATATACATGGACCCGTATAGATAGGGCTTATACAGGTTGTTTACAGGGCACGCGCTTAGCGTTTGTGGTGTTTGGGGCTTCGGGTTTGAGGGTTAAGGGCTTCCCGTACTAAGCTCAGGGTTTAAGTTTAGGGCTTTGCGTTTTCTCTGGAGTGGGCATGGTTTTTTCTACTGTCGGGTTTGATAGAGTATCCATCAGGTTGTGAAGGGCGTCATATTTTTCTATATGTTTGGATTTGGGGTCGCTGACGAACTTTAGTGTTTAGGGTTAACTCAGGGTCTAGGCAGCCTCTTTAGCGAGTTGGGGCGCTAACGTATAGGGTTCAAACTTGAGTTGGGGTTCGGGCTAAGTGTTTGTTTGCAGAGGATTCAGGGTTTCGTGTATTGGGATTTACACTCAGGGCTCCGCTCTTGAGGCAGAAAAGGGCGGGGGAGCAGTTGGGCTTTGGGCTGTCGGATAGATAGGATAGGATTCCATGAGTGCTTACTCTCTGGTTGCGCAAGTTGTTCGTTCGGCGCTGAGTGTCGAGCCCTATGGTGCGCGAATTGTCTAGAACTTCATGAGTGAGACGTTAATCCGGTAACCCTCCTTGTCGAGTGCCGTACTGTGAACGTTCAGCTAACCAAAGAGGGGACAGCCCTGATCTCCAAGTACATGCTCCATGGAGCCATGTGCGGAGGCGAGCTGCTATAGTCTTAACGAGACCTTCGCAGCTAAGAGTGCAGACGAGACGGCGGACCGATTATGAAGACCTCAAGTACCGAAGGAGAAACCTCAACAACACCATGCTCAGTGCTGCAATCGCCGTGTCCAGCGCCTTCCCGGAGAACCAAAGCGGCGCCAAGTTCCTAAGCTTGGTGTTCCAGTGGCATGGCCCTGCATGGTGGAATTATTCGCGACTTTACAAGATGACGACAACAGCTGGCCCTGAACACGAAAGCCCCAAGGGTCATAAGGACCGTTTTGGTAGAAAGTGTGGTTTTCAGTGGGAACTGACAGTTTGGGCAAGCATCCCGAATCCCCCAAATTTAGGTACTTCGCGGAACCTTTGGGCAAGCAACAAAAATTCTTGCAACCCCCCGAACCTGATGCCTTGCAAGCCCCTGCTGGCCTGCACCCGAAAGCCTAAACTAGAAATCGTAATTGTAGTTTCGCGAGACTTAGTAGTTAGGATAGTACCCCAAGTAGGGATCGAATTTCGTGATATGTGCGGTGACCCTAAATTTACTCTATGCTAGATGTTTAGCCCTACTTTCGAAGTCCACCTGATCCTCTGAGTGGCCTAAACGGCCAGTGCCGCATTCCAATTCCACCCAATTCCGGTCTGTCTTGCCAGGAGTTCCGCAATCTTGGCGACCTTCAGCTAAAGGCGGTCTCTTTATGTAATATAGGAGCCTTCTATTGTGAATCGTGTTTTGGGGTGTATTGCAGTTTAGCTAAATTTGGCCTATACCGGGATTCTGAGATACTTCCACTCCTTGTTCCGGCCCCTGCTGTATGCGAGGGCATGTGGTTGGGTCTAGTCGTTCGTCTTGGGCTTAGGGTTTAGTTATCCTCTTGGGGTTTGGCAATTTGGGTTCGAGTAGGTTGCATTCGTGCTGTCATCCACCTCAGAACCTAACCCATGGCCAAGAAGATGGGCTTCAGCATGAGCCAAAGGTGGTCAAGGCCTCTTATGACCCAACCGACTCTACCATGGGATGTGTGACTAAAAGGCATTTGCAAGCAGCTGGCCAGCGCATCATCCTTACGGATTTCATGCGGCGTCTCGTGACACGATACTACGGAACCCCATAGTACCCCGTAAGGGGAACCCTATTATGGAACCCGGTAATGTCCCTTATGGGTTTGAATACTGGCTCGTTTACGGCGATTCCAAAAAGCACATAAGCATAAACATGTTATAGGGAGATCCCTACCTTATTGGGCTTCATTACAAGGGGGTCTATATGGGATATCTCCATCCTAAGTTTTGCCGTTGATCATCGGGATGGAAGCTCCGACCCCTGCACCAACAGCCCCAACCCCGACCCCCAAAGCGGGAAGGCCTTAAAATCGACTAAACCTTAGATAGAGAGTGGGAGAACTTTAAACTCTTTGGCTTTATATACGAGCTCTATCTTAGAAAACTTTTTTGGGCCCGGTTGTTGAAGAAGAGAGAAACCAAACCTCAACCTGAAACTCTGAGCCCAGATCCTAAACCCGTGATTAGAACCACAGTCTAAACTCTTGTAGGACTTGAAACCCTAAACCCCTAAACCCGAGAAGCCTTCCGTCCCACAACCCCTAAACCCAAAATCCTGAAACCCCAAACCCCCCTTGTAGAACGGTAAACCCCCAAAACCCTAAACCCGATAAGCCCTCCGTCCCAGAACCCCAAACCCAAAATCCGGAAACCCCAACCCCCCCAGGCCCAATTCGTGAAAACCTCAGCTCCACGAGACTTTAAAAAAAAAAAGACTGACATGGCAGGTTATTGTTACATACGGACCCTGCATTAAGTATTAAATGTCATGGCCCCTACCTTTGTCATAAGTTGGGGAACCAGGCTGTTCAGTGGTACACTTTTTTACTTTCAGATTTCTGGGTTCCTATTCTAAAATAAGAAGCTTAAAAAGTATATACTTTCTCCCAGTGGGTTACTGAACAGCCTAGGGAACATTTTACATGTTTTATGGGTAGTTAACCCCAATAAGGAATACAAATGTACATTCTCAATCCTATCCCAACCATGAACTAGCTAATCCCTAAACCCTAAGCCCTCTAAACCCTAAACCCTAAACCCTAAACCCTAAAGCCCTCTAAACCCTAAACTACAGTAACCTGGCGAGGCTCTGAACTTGGCGAGAACCTGGCTCTCCACGCTCCCTTGGCCGCAACAGAACCATTGGGGCTGTTGGTGTTGTAGGGTTTGGGGTTTTGTAGGGTTGAGGGTTTGGGTTTTGGGCATGTGTTAGGGTTTAGGGTTTTGTGGGGTTAAGGGGTTAGGTTTGGGCATCTATGAAAAACTAACGGTTCAGAAGTGTGTGCTGGGAATTGTGGGGTTCATGAGGGTGGTGAAGGGGATGTACATTGGGGCTGCAAGGATTGGGAAGGGTTTGGAAGGGTTTAGGTGCTCCACCAGAATAATACCCTGTAGTGACATTTCTGCCCGGCAGATATGGCCACGTTGTCGGGCTCGTGCCGCAAGCCTGGAAGCCGTTCTTGGTCTCAACGAGGGCTTCGGACATGGTGTCGGTGCACTGCCCTCGTGGTACTCGTGAAGGCAAAGTTGCCGCCATGCGTGAGTGTTTGGAGGAGCGTCCAGCTTACCAAGCCATCACATAGGGCGGGCAGTGCCGGTGTCTTCACTGCTTCAAGCGAGCGGGTTTCTTTGAGAAGGCCGAGGGGCGATCATGATGTACGCCAGACCGTGCGAGGAGCACCAATTTTTCCATCCGACGGCATATGACCTCGGCCAATGGTGCTTATCGAAAGTTGGCTTGGAACGGACCTACATCCACAACCCCAGGGGGGATTTGGCTGTGCTGTGGGTCGACAACGCCCTCACACATGCATAGATGGATAATTGCAGAAGTACCTACACCTTGCACATCTTTTCGCCGACGCAGATTCCACAGTAAGGAGAAAACCCCATACAAGTAGGATGTAAGCGTGTATGTGGACCATCGTGCAGCCACTCAACAGAAGCTTTGCATACACGAATCTGCACAAGTGGTAGTGCCGAGTCATCCTTCATAGCTACAATGTCTATTCCTCAGGGCTCCTTATGGTAACTATACAAAAGTAGAACCTGAAACACTATTCTAATCATGCCGGCTCCTATATGCGACTTTTTTAAACGTCTGGTTGTAAGCCCCCAGCCACTCTCGGCGAACCCCAAACCCTAAACCCCTAAACCCTGAAACCCTAAACCCCTAAAGCCCTACACCCCTAAAGCCCCAAGCCACTCTCGGCGATTCTAGGCTCTTCCCACACATCGTCTCTCGGATCCATCGAGTCCATTACGGCCTCTTGGACGAGGACCCTTGAGCGCGGCTTCGGGGCTTTGGGTCCCTGAACCCCTAAACCCGAATCCCTGAAACCCTAGACCCTAACCCCAATCGCCGTGGGTACAGGTTGTTTGTTCGCTCAGGCTTAACCCTAAACCCTGCATGCTAGGGATTATAAACCCTAAACCCAAGAGAAACTATGCCCTAAACTCATGCAGAAGATAGTGAGTCTAAGCCCTAAGCCCTACATGCTAAGGCTTATAAACCCTTAACCCAAGAAAAATTAGGCCCTAAACTCATACAGAAGACTGTGTGTGTATATATTTATATGTATGTATGTATGTCTGGCTGGATGCTAGATGGATGGATGGATGTGGGGCTGCATGTATACCCTAAGCAGGACTCCCCAAGCTTTGCAGCGGAGCCCCTCCCGCGACGGAGCCTGGCTGTGCCTTTCGTTGGCAAGGCACCGATCGACGATGTGAGTTTAGAGCCTAGGGTTTACAGTAGAAGCCAGAAAGTTGGAATATGATTATCCTAAACCCTTTAAGGTAAATTATAGGGGATCCTACCATTAATCCATATTCCAACTTTCAGGAGTTCCCTGTAGGGCTTTAGGGCTTACGGGTTTAGGGTTTATTGTTTAAAGTTTCGAGTTTCGGACACTACTGTACCAGGATCCCATAAGCAAGGTATTCTTTGATCGACCTTTGATAGTGCGGCCCCCATGGTCCTTCGTCTTTGGTAGGTTGCGGCAAAGGGGTTGTTGGGCGGACTGGTTACGGTCTGGGGTTTGGGGCCACAGTTTTTGGGTGTACAAGTACTTTAGGATAGCCTTATGTTTTGTTGTGAGCTTCAATTCGGTTTTAGGCTAGGAGGTCTAGGCTGCACAGTTCTGGGTTGAGTTCGGACCAGATTTAGTGTTTCCTTTCTGCTACCAGGGTTATAGGATGGAGCATCTCAAGGAACCGTTAGAAGGTTTATGTTGAACCTTAAGGTTGCCCTTGCACGAATCCTCAACCGTGTTGGGTTGGGGTTTGGCTTTTGGCGTTTGGGCAGCCAGAGTTGGGTGCAACATATTGTCGTAGGCCCTGTGATTGTAAGGAACTTCAAAGGTGCTGGGTACGGGCGACAGTGCCTAGAGTTCATGGAGCCCCAGCCCCCGAAGTCTCTACCCAGACCGTGAACAGAGCACCAAGGTTTCGGCTTTGAGGGTTTACCCTAAAAATCCATATAAATACCCAGGATATACTTTTGGGGCCAATGTACCTACATAGGGAGTACTTTAAGGCCAAGGTATATACCATTAGGATGCATGGACCCATAAACCTTAAAATATATAGAGCCCTTGTAGAACCTTTATTGTAGAAACCCTTAGCGGAACCTTTAAACCATTTTGGCACATGGACCCTTAGGATTTAGGGAGAGCTCGTCCCAACTTTCCTTGCGCCTGCCAGGATGCACCTTCCGCCGGAAGCCCAGGGCTGTGTGGTTGGTACTTGGAAGTTCATGGGACTTAGTAAGTGAAGTTATAAGTACCTAAATTGGGGTTATAGGTAGTTATAAGTAATTACAGTCACCCTTCCTAAAATTTAAAACCCTAGTTACTAAGTCCCATGATCCTTTACGTACCCTAAGGGTCGAGGTATCGCCTTAGGAGGGTCCGGAGTCTCCTAGGGAGAGCCCCTGGGTCTCGTTGGGGGCTTCAGGAATCCTACATTTTGAGGTTCCCCAAAGTGTTAGGACCCTTAGGGAAGTAGAGTAGGTAACCTTTAATTTTTTGGTGTATGATAATCCCTATATGTACTCCCAAACATGATCCCAAGTAGAGTCGGTAACCTTTACCAGTTTTTAGGGGGTTACCCTTACCTTTAGGCTCCAAGCACTCATTGGGCCCAAAGACCATACTATATGAGGGCTTTTGGGCCATTTTGAGCCTGAAGGCAACCTTGTCATGCGGGCTCCATGTATTTCTGCGCTCTATCTAGTCCTGCAGCGACCAGAATCCTCCCAATATTGCTTGGAGCCCTAACCCCACTAATTTAATCCTGAGACCTTATTATTACCTAGAGCTTGCGAGGCCTTAGATGTGGTTACGTTTTCTGGTTACATTTTGTAAGCTCCTTGAGGCCTCTGGAAACCCCATGCAACTCCCGAAAGAGCAAATCCTAAACCCCGAAACCCTAAAGCCCCACACCCTATAAACCCCTGAACCCTCAAACCCAAGAGCCTATAAACCCCTCAAAGCTTCAAGGAGCCCTCAAAGGAGCCCATAAACGGCACCTAAACACCCTACTTAGAGGATCATGGGACTTAGTAAGTAGGTTATTATTGGGTTTATAAGTCCCCTAAGTGGGGTTATCCTAATTATAACCTACTTATAACCTTACTTACTAAGTCCCATGAGCCTTCAAGTAAGCCCCTGAACTCAAAACGTCTACCAAGGAAACCTCACAGTTCAGCCATCCCGACGTCCTGATCGGGCGGAGATCTCAGTACCAATTGCCCTGACATCCTGGGGTCCTTAAGGGGGGGTGGTTCAAGGGGGGAGGGTACTAGGGAGCTTTGGGGAACCTTAGTTAGGGAAGCTTAGGGAGTATTGGGGAATAATGGGGATTACTAGGTTACCTACCCCCCTTGGACCACCCCCCCTTAAGGACATCCTAAGACATCCTGGGGTCTGGAAGTTTAGGGTTTAGCCGGGGTCCTCGGGTTTAGGCGTATTGGGTTTTTGGTTTAGCGTCCTGGAGTTTGGGGGTTCGTTTTCAGGCAGATTCGGGTTTCCCCTACGCCCAAGACGAATCAGGCAACCCACCCGAGTGCGCTTCTGCAATGAAAACTTGCGTATCTTATTCTGGTGGCTCTACAGGAATACTGGCACTGTGTTCATCTCAATTGAAAAGACATGTTCCTGCATCAAGAGGTCTCTGTTGGGGGATCGAACCCGAATAATTATCAGATCTAAACTGTATAGGCCTAACTGGAGCCTGAAGAACCTACCCATTTTAAGAGCTTGTAAAAGGAAGTCACAAGAAGGAACCCTGAAAAAGGTAGGTTTTTCAGGGTCCAGGTAAGCATTAACCTTCAAACCAGCTCCAAGCACTGCTTTCTGAGGCTCACCTGGCTGGCCTTCCGCTTCGGTGGGCTCCGGCAAGGCCATCCCGGCCGAAGGTTTAGGGCTTTAGGGGTTTTGGGTTTAGGGCTTTAGGGGTGTAGGGGCGTAGGGTTTGCGGGCTTTGGGGTTTTGGGTCTCGGGGTTTAGGGGTTTTGGGGTTTAGGGGGTCTTTCATGGGCTGCCCCAAAGCCTTACGTAAGTGTCCATGCATTGAGATAGGGTATGGTAAAGTATATATGACAAGGGCTGTATGAGGGCGCTACGGTTGATGATATAAATCCTGCATGACCCATAATGAGGAATATATGGGAATTATGGTATATTCCTTATTATGGGTCATGCAGGATTTACATCATCAACCGTATAGGTAGTTCTGCAACAGAAACCACATGGTTGACAGTTTGAAGGTCGGTGAAGGGGTTTCTTGAAAGCAACTGTGCGCTCTAAGAATTTGCTGGTGCGGCACATAGACTTGTAGGCTGTTTCATAAGCCGATACTCCAAACCTTAAAGTCCCAGACTCTAAAAACCCTAAACCCTGAAGCCCAGACCCCTAAACACTCAAAAGCCATAAAACCCTGAAAAAACACCAAAACCCTGAACCCACACAAAAACTCCAAAAACCCTAGAAACCCTGAACCCTAAATCGGTTGGGACCTGTCGGGCTGTCAGGGTGCAAAAGGTTTTGTTTGGTTTTCGCCTGCTATAGTTGCCCTACTTATAACCTTACTTTCAACTACCCATGAGCCTTCAAGTAGGATGCCCAGTAGTACCCTTATTCCCTTTTTGTGTTATGAGTATAGTTACCCTACTTATTAGCTTACTTTCAACTACCCATGAGCCTCCAAGAAAGGAAGCAAAGCAAAGAGAAGCAAAAGCTGACGGTCCGAGGTGATTTCAGGCGAGCTCTCCGAGGCCGAGAGCCGCTTCTTCTGGGGGTGGGGCCCTAGGGCTTGTAGGGTTTAGGGTTTTAGGGTTTTGTGTCTAGGGCTTTTAGGGTTTAGAATTTTAGGGTTTAGGGTTTTAGGGTTTAGTGTTTAGAGCTTTTAGGGTGTAGGAGTTTAGGGTTTAGGGTTTTAGCGTCTAGGGTTTGGGGTTTTGGGGTTTGTAGGGCTTGGGGTTCCAGCGAATTTGGGCTCCTTTCGGACTTCGGGGGTTTAGCCTAAGCCTTCAACCCAAATATCCTACTTGTTTTAAGGGCCCATATGAGGAAATCATAGTAGGGGTGAAGTTTGGGATCCTTGCGGACTTCTGGGGTTTTTCCCGAAGCCCTAAAGCCTTAAATCTCTCCCCAAGGAACAGGCTCCTCCTGGTAAGGAAGCCTTTCTGTATCTGCAGGGGCACATTAAAACAAATACCTCCTGGGATCCTTTCGGACTGGGTTTAGCTTAAGCCTTAACCCCAAATAACCTACTTGCTAAGGACCCCATATAAAAAGGAAATCATTATAGCGAGCCCGAAAAATGTAGGTTCTTCAGGATCTAGGTAAGCCCTAAACCCTTAAACCCCATAATTCCTAGGACAGCATCTTCTTCACATGCTTCTGCTTCTCAGCGAGTCAGTTTCGACAGCATCTAAGTTGTTCCTACAGTCTAGTCTATCTTCCAAGGGTAGAAGGAGGGACCCTTAATAAGGACCCCTCGGTATATACCCTTAATATAGCTATTATATACCCATTATATAGCCCATTATAGGGTAGGGGTCCCCATTAAGGGTCCCTCCTTTTCCCCTTTGATATCTGCTCGGGCATCAGTGCATCGTCGGTTTCCTCCTTTCTCTACACCCCCCAGCCCGAAGTTGCTCCAGGGTTTTCCTTTGGAAGAGTTGTTGCTTAGGGGTACTTAGCAATAATAATTGTTAATTTTGGGTTCCTATATTCCGTAAGAAACAGCTAACATTATAGTTTTTGCTAGGGGTCTGAGGTTCAGTAGAGGTTGTCCGGGTTATGGTGCGAAACATCTTCGACAAAGCATGTGCTCAATAACAGAGAGACGAGAGCTGCAGAGCCACAGGTTTCTCTCTGTAAGTCCTTTGAACTCTGCATTTTAATAGCGTAAATACAATGCAACATTTCATAGAAGTCTAACTTTATGATAGTAAATCATGCAAAAAAACAGTATATATATACCCACAACAACACCGTATATAAGTAATAGCACCTACATTGAGGTATAGAGCCTACAAATATTACCTATTCTGGGCTATTTAGAGTCTTGGGAGGTGTCTATTCCTCGCCCGGATTCTTATTAAGGATTTCATTTCAAATTTACCATGGCAGGGATATATAATGAATAAGGTGGATTCTTTCATGTGGTAACTTAAGCTTAACCTCTTGGCAAGAACCCAGGTTGTGGGTGAGGGAAGCCATGCAACTCGAGGTTTGGGGTTCAGAAGTTCAAGCTTCGGATGCAACTCCCCAACAAACATCCTCAGTCAAGCCTAGCCCTGATGAAGCCAGCAGCAGTCGTCGTCGTGTAGCAGGAGTAGTAGTAGTAGTAGTAGTAGTCGTAGTAGTCGTAGTAGTCGTAGTAGTCGTAGTGTAGCAGCAGGACCAGTAGTAGTAGTAGTAGTAGTAGTAGTAGTAGTAGTAGTAGTAGTAGTAGTAGTAGTAGTAGTAGTAGTAGTAGTAGTAGTACTAGTAGTACTAGTAGTACTAGTAGCACTAGTAGTACTAGTTTACTAGTAGTACTAGTAGTACTAGTCGTACTAGTAGTACTAGTAGTACTAGTAGTACTAGTAGTACTAGTAGTACTAGTAGTACTAGTAGTACTAGTAGTACTAGCAGCAGTAGTAGTAGTAGTAGTAGTAGTAGTAGTAGTAGTAGTAGTAGTAGTAGTAGTACTAGCAGTAGTAGTAGTAGTAGTAGTAGTAGTAGTAGTAGTAGTAGTAGTAGTAGTAGTAGTAGTAGTAGTAGTAGTAGTAGTAGTAGTAGTAGTACTAGCAGTAGCAGTAGCAGTAGCAGTAGCAGTAGCAGTAGTAGTAGTAGTAGTAGTAGTAGTAGTAGTAGTAGTAGTAGTAGTCGGAGTAGTAGTGGTACTTAGTAGTAGTGGTGTGGCCTTCGCATTCGTGGTTTAAGCTGAGCCCCATCACTTGCCGCAGCCTTGACGCGACTTCGCCGGGGCGATGCCGACGACGCCAAAGCCCGCCGAATCCCTGGCTTCGCGTTCAGTTTAGGGCTTTTCTATTGTTGAGGGCTTGTAGGGTGTTTTGTAGGAATTCAAGTTGGGCGGATCGTGAGTTCAGGTATCATGAAGGGGTTAATTAAGTTTAGGTTTAGGATGTCAGGCACCGACAGCCCGAAAGCATAAACAAAGGCAGTTCAGGGTTGTGCTAATGCTTTCGGCGACCGCACCTGAACCCCCAGAACCCTAAACCTCAAAACCCTAAACCCTGAACCTCAGAACCCGTGAACCCCAAACCCCCAAACTCCCAAATCCGTCGCGGTTGACCGCCGAGATCGGGAGTCGACATCTAAAAAAAAGTTGCTTTACCGGACTCCAAGGGTCCATGTGCCCATAAGTGTGACAATAAGTGTTCTACAAGTGTCCATGCGCCCATAAGTGATACTATAAGGGATCTCTAAGGGTCCATGTGCCCATACGTGCTACTATAAGGATTCTACAAGTGTCCATGTGCCCATAGGTGCTGCTACAAGGGTTCTATAAGGGTTTAGGCTGTAAGGGTTTATGGAGCCAAATGGCACAAACTTTGGCCCTGAAGTACCTATATAGGCGCTGCTTTAAGGCCAACCTATCGGCTATTTGGGTACATGGATTTTCAGGGGAACCCTACAACGCCTACCGTTTTAGGGTTCCTGAATTGCCGTGACAGCCTTGTAGAAGGCCTGAGAAAGCTTATTTAGCAGCGACATGATTAAGCTAAAGCTGCTGCACAAATTGAAACAGCGATCCGGAGCACATTTTGACGCTGCAAGAAGCTATACTCTGTGAGTCCTCTACTAGCTTATGGCCAGTTCGCAGTGGTAGCAAAGGCTAAGGCTGACGGAGTTCTGAGACTTTCCTACAAATCAAGAGCTGCGCGAACGATTTTGGACTCGGTTGGAAGGTTCATGAGCGAGGCCTACAGCCCAAAGCTCACAGGCCAAAACCCCCAGCCGCCTATCAGATTTGGGGCCTAAGGAGTTTTGGGATTCGGTTTCCATGTGAGCCCGAGCAGCCCTGAAAGCTCTCTGCCTGCAGATCGGTTGTTGGACCTGCCTACACCCGAAACTCCAAGGTATACACGGTTTGCGAGTTTGTAGGATGTAGGATTTTGGCAGCAGTCGATGCCAATGGCAACTACGCGACCAGAATAATTCATTGTCAGCCGCGTAACTAAGACTGTGTAGGCAGCTGGAGGCAAAGGTAGAATAGTCCATGCAGGGTCTACCGCACGAGGGTTTGTGAATTGTTCAAGCATCACCAAGGTGAAGCAGCACGGCTTTACAACGTTTGGGTGCGCGAGGCGGGCTGCCGTAAATCCGCACACCATGTTCCAACATAGTAAGACAGTCCCTTGGCCCCTCTTTAACTTATACAACCATACGACAAAATTCTCCCAAGCCCTACCCTAACTATTTAGGCACGGTCTTGAACCATTTTGACCATAACCCTAAACCCTAAACCCCTGAACCCTAAACCCATACCCCCGGTGGGATACCTGGGAGCCAGTACTTCGGCTTTCGGACAGCTGATACCCCAGCAGACTCATCACACGTAACGTAGACCTTAGGGGTTTTGGGTTTCAGGGTTTAGGGGTTTAGGGTTTAGGGGTTTCAGGGTTTAGGGGTTTAGGGTTTCAGGGTTAGTGTTGTAGTGGGGTTTAGGGTTTAGGGGTTTAGGGTTTAGGGGTTTCGGGGTTAGTGTTGAAGTGTTTAGGGTTTGTTGTTTAGGATTACAAGACCCCCGCCCTGCTCTGCAAATCTCCAAGCCTCCAGTTCCAAAACGTTCAACCGCTGCAAGAAGTCAATCCGATGAACACGGCCTTAAGGCCACCCTAAACCCTAAACCCTAAACCCTAAACCGTAACCCGTGGGGACTTGCTGTTCCTTCAGGGCACCGCACCAAATGATTTGGCACTTAGTTGAAGGTTGATCTCTTTCGTGAAGTGCCGAACCAGCAAATAGTTGGACCATCGGTGATTCCTACGGTTGATGATATAAATCCTGCATTACCCATAATAAGGAATATATGTTATTATGGGTCATGCAGGGTTTACATCATCAACAGTAGGATCATTAAACTTTGCAGACCCGAAACCCCAAAACCCCTAAAGCCCGAGACCTAAACCACTCTATCACTTGTGATTTGATTCTCATGGGTTATTTAGATCAAAACTATTTAGATCAAAACTCAAAAAAGCCTAAAGGAACCCTTCCAGGAAGCTTAAGCCCCAACAGCGTTGCATCTCTTGAATCGTCACACGTCCATTCAGCTTGACGTGAAGTGCTGTGAATCCCAGAGACCTTAATTAAGGAATATACCTTAAATTAAAGTAGGATCCCTAATATGATTTAAAGAATATTCCTTAATTGAGGGATATTGAAGTCTCTGGGATTCCACTCGAAGAGTCGGTTTTTCTCTCTCGGAGAGCATACCTTCAGGGCTTTTTGTGCGACATTTGCAAGTCACCAGCAGAGCGCAGTGTACTGCAGCAGAAGGTTGTGAAAAAGGACACTAGAATCCTAAATCCTATAAACTTTAACATCCAAACCCTGAAGTCCTAAACCCCAAAAACCCCTAAACCCGAAAAGCCCTGAAAACCCCGAACCCTTACAGAAACCCTAAACCCAAAAAGAACTAACGACCCCAAACCCTTAAACGCCCTAAGGAAGGGGCCCCCACCCTGTAATAGTGACTATAAGGATTGTATTAGAGCCCTATTGTATTCCTATTATACCACTATTACAGGGTGGGGGCCCCTCCTAACCTAAAACCGCTAAAAAGCCCTACAGGCTGCTGCAGAACGGATCCCCTTCTCTCCCACATCGGAGCGTCTCACATTAGTGCTCTGTCAGGCAACGACCTACTCGAAACGCTAAAAGCCCTCAGGGCCCCAAGTACAGAAAGTCTTTGGAGAGACCCAGAGACTCCAATAACCCTTAATTAAGGAATATACCTTAAACTATAGTAGGATCCCTAATATAATTTAAGGAATATTCCTTAATTAAGGGTTACTAAACCCTATAGATCCCTTATAGATCCCTTAAAGGAACCCTAGGTATATTCCTTCAGGGGTTATTGGAGTCTCTGGGGATACTAATTAAACCCTAAACCCTTTATAGAACTCTTCTAGATCCCTCTAAATTTCGGAAACTCCCATTCCAGGCCGGCGGTCACGTGCGAGGATTGCTCGGCGGTGGGGCGCTGGATGCCAAGGCCCGGCTGGCGTTCAAGCGCTTTGTTTTTGTTGTTTAAGGGTTCAGGGTTTTTAGGGTTTAGGGTTTAGGGTTTAGGGTTGTTCATAAAAAACCTCCACAAGCATGCAAGGAAGCCTCAAAGCACCAGGTTTTTTATCAGCACGTGACCTTGTTTAAGGGTTTAGGGTTTTTAGGGTTAGTTAAGGGTTTTGGGTTTAGGGTTCAAGGCTTGGAGTTTAGAGTTCAGGGTTCAGAGTTTAGAGTTGCGGGTTTGGGGATTAAGGTTTAGTGTTTTTTTTTTTTTTGCTTGGAAGGTTTTGTAAAGGGTTGTTAGAGGAGTTTCAATGACGATAAGGGTTGAACCAAGGATGCTAGAATCCGGAAAGGAAGTTTAGCTTTGTCGGGCTTGCCGTTGAGGCCTCTTAGGACCTATAGGGTGTAGGGCTTTAGGAACTCATAGTAAGGTGTAGGGTTCAGGATTTCGGGTGCAGGGTTGAGGTGCTAGGGTGTAGGGCTGTAGGAACTTCTTATAAGGTGTAGGGTTTAGGATTTCGGAACCCTCTTTGAGGCTTGAGGCTTAAGGAGGGTTCAGGCGTTATGTAGATCGTGTGTTATTTCATGTTGTCTCGTGGTTCCAGACCGTAAACACAAAGTGGGATGCACATAGGATTCCGGTTTAGGGTTTAGGGTTAAGGTTCAAGGTTTAGGGTTTAGGATAGGGGTGAACGGGCCGTTTGAGAAGTTTAGAATTCTGGGTTTCGGTGTTATTACAATCGAGTTTCCTTCGTTGGCTCGTGTAGCGTTCAGGGTTAGCGCCCTCAGCACCGCACAATCCGGAATTATCTTTTCGGTTGTCGTACATACAGGTTAGTACGGATGGGCTATTGGATTGTCTTATGCATTTGGACCCTCGGTTGCATGGTCTTGGGTTTTATGGGCTTTGGGATCAACCAGACCAGTCATTCCACTTCGTGCCATGTAGAAAGGAGCTCAAAAGAACCTGTGAACCCTATTAACCAGAAAAAGTTCATTAACCCTATGAGCCCTGTAAACCCTAGACCCTAAACCCTAAGATTCCGCAGACCCCAACTTTCTTTGAGGCCCCAACTTGACTTTAGGAGACCCATCCACATGAGCGCTCCAGAGTACGCATCCCATCTGACAAGCCCCACTGTCCAAGACATTCCATAATTTCCGGGATCCCCCAATATGGCCCTTTAATGGAGCCCTTATGGCATTAACTGGGAGGGAGGGGGGGGGGGGGGGGGGTGGGGTATTTGGGGTATATTAGAGGGTAGTTGGGAGGGTCTAATTTGGTACTTTGGGTTGAGGATCGAAGCTTTACATATGGCTTGCAAACTTGGTGGTTAGGTGTAGCAGGACCTTGTTTAGGGATTATATATAGGGTTTAGGGTGCTTGGGTTCAGGATCGAAGCTTTATCCGTGAAGCTTTCGGCTTTGGCTACTGACCCTAAGAGCAAGGGGTCAGGACAAGGCTGCAAACCCTAAACCCCTTATATAGGCTCCTTAAGTCGAGCAGGCTTTCAGCTTGCGCTCTTCACAAATAGTCTATTTACATGGAACGGGGCTTTGTAAGTAGCGTTCGACGTAAGGCATCCTCCTTTTTAAGGAACTGCGGAAAGCGTGGATTCAATCTGAGATGCAATCATTGAGGATTTCTTGCATGAGGAACGCTTTAGGGTTTAGGGTTTAGGATTTAGGGTTTAGGATCTAGGATTTAGGGTTTAGGGTTTAGGATAGCTGGGTTTCAGGGGCTATGCGACTCCCCGCCTCAACTGTAGAAGTCTCCCGTCCCCTGCCCGGCCCGTAGGGAATTTCGGGTTTCGGGGTGTAGGGTTGGGGGGTTTTGAATGTAAGAGTTGGGGCTTAAGGTTGTGGGTTTACGAGTTTGTGGTTTTATATTTAAAGGTTCCGAGTTCAGGAGCGGGGGTTTAGTGTTTATAAGGTGCACCACATCTCCACGGGCCAAAGCCGCAATGCCTGAAGCCGCACTTCAGTTCGCTGCTGTTGGAGTGTGGGCTCTCTCAAGCTGTTTGCAGCATGAACCCTCGACAAACGGTTCCAATCATGAAGCCCCCCTTCATCTAACCCAGTTGTGTAGCTAGCCGCCGCATGTAATGCGTGATCGAACCGCAAACACTGTTCAGCCAAGCAACACAGCATGTCCATTCGGCATTAAAATGGGTAGTGGCATGATTTCAAGGCGATGCTACCCAAACTCCTAAACCCCAAGCCTAACTTCACCCGTTATAAGAGCACTATCACTATCGCCCGCTGTTTCACCTTCACCCGACATGACTCATGACCTCCCAGCATGACTGTTTAGAGAGATTGAGACAGTTCCCGTTCTGGCTTTGTGCCACGGCGTCGCGGGGGTGCACTTAACCCCTGTCCCGCTGATGCCGTCGCCATCGAACAAGATCGACACAGCTCGGTGGCTCGATCGTACTCGTAGTTTTAATTCGGATCGGTTACGTACCAGCACAGCACATGTGTACAAGACCCATACCTCCAGTTTTCACTTGGTTCTCACATTTTCAGACTGAGCATTCCTGACTCTCTCCTGTAACCGTAAAGCGGCTGTGTTCTGCGATGTGCACCTAGGATCTCATATATTGGAGGGCTTTAGTCTTAGGATTCTGTTGGGACCTGGGTGTAGCGGCCAAATTGGTTTCGATGACAGTGTTTTTCGAAGACCGTACACCCCGACCACCGTCTCGCAGCCTTACTTGTTCGTTTTTGGTTTACTGTGACCCTACGTAGTTCCGAAAGCCCTGTACCCTCAAATCGTTCCCTAAACCTTGAACTAAGCCCCTTAACCGTGGCTCATGAATCCTGCGAAGAGCCCATCTGACAGACTTGCGAGCTTTGGGCTTCGGAGTTACTATGGGGGTTTCTGGGGTTTGGTTTCGGGGTTTGGGTATTTTGGGTTTGGGAGTTTAGTTTAGGGTTTAGGGAGTCGAGGATTTAGGGTTTAGGTGTTTGTGTGTGTTTGTGTTTAGGGGTTTTGGGTTTCGGCGTTTGGGGTTTTGGGGTTTATGAGTTTAGACTTCAGGGCTTGCTCCTTCAGGCTTGAGAGCATTTAGACTCAGCGCCGCAAGAAACCCTCAAGTTTACACACTTATGTGGAAATACTGCGTCAGAGCTTGTAAGCCTCGTTGATACCAACTATTGGAGTCTTTGGCTTGTCGGAACCGCAAACCCTAAAACGTTATGCATAGTATTAAAAGCCCTACATCCTCTAGGCCGTATAACAACCTGACAGTACCCCACGGAGCCTGAAAGGAAGCTTTCCCAGTAGCACTAAAGCCTTTGAGTAAGGCAGGGATCCCCGGAAAGCTTCGACGGCCCCGATCTCCGGGGGGAGAACATTCTGGTGGATGCTCCGGTCGCAAAGTGTGACGGATGGCCAATCTTACGCATGACACCAATTGAAAGGCTACACACTACTAAATCCTAAATCCGAAACCATGAATCCTACGCCCTCCACTCCAAACTCTACGCCCGAGACCTTCAATCATACATTCTCAACCCTAAACCTAATGACGTGCCTACTTCGGGCTCTTGAGGATGTTCAGGGTTTTGCAGTTTTACGCAAGTTTCAGATTTAGGGTTAGGGGCTTGAAGGTGTCAGGCGCTTGTTGAGGTATGTTGCGGTGTCGTATAGGCTGTTGGGTGCTTCCGGGTTTCGGGGGTTTAGGGTTCGGTGCCCCTGAGGGTGCAAGTGCTCATAAAGTAGATGTTTCCACCCTAGAGTTTAAGCAAGTTTAAGTGACAAGGAAGAGAGATTACGACGTAAGACAGCAACAACAACCCAAGCCATAAGCCTTGCACTTGGCCCCAATCTTTATATGCGATAATGCAATCAGCGACCCCCAGAACCCGTAAACAACCAGACCTCAACCTAAACCTTCAAGCTCTAAACCCTAAACCCTAAAACCCTAAACCCTAAAAACCCTAAACCCTAAACCCTTAAACAACCCTAAACCCCCTAAACCCGTAAAGCCTTAGCCCGAAGCCCTGAATCCGAAGACCAAAGCACGGCTCCACCCGAGGATCCCTCTGTGGTGGGCTTTGACCGCTTGGCCGTCCTGCGGTCGCTTCGGCTGATGATGGATGGAGTCGGTTTAGGACTAGGAGTCTAGTGTTTAGGGTGTTTGGGGTTTAGGCTTAGGGGTTAAGCTTAGGGATTTAGGCTAGAGATGATGGATGGAGCTTAGGGCTTTAGGGGTTCAGGGGCTTAGGCTTATGGGATGATGGATGAAGTCGCTTGTTGTTGGTGCTGTCGTGAAGGATTGCACACCTGAGTGCCTTCACCAGTTCCGGATCGGATCTTGAGCCTCCAAACAAGTGAATTTCCGAAAATGGGGGACCCCAGACCCCAGATAGTACCCTAAATAGTAAGATCCCAAATAAGTTTCGAAGCCTCCAAACAAAAAAGCCAGGTTACAGGACCTCTCCCAAGAAATTCGTTGCCACTCTGAATATCATAAACCCGGATCGGCATGGCCCTATATAGGAAAACCTAGAGACTACAGCCGCAACATACTTGTGGGTATTGTAAGCACAATGATTTGCAACAGAATCGTTCTGTAGACATACATTGTCAGCTCGGACACCCTCAACCGGTGGCCCGGAAAAGCACCCTGAAACGGAAGGAACTTCTGGTCGGGGTATGCCGGCTTAAAACATGTCAAAGTTCTCGGAAACCCGACAACACCTTACGAATTCCCGTAATATTTGGAAACCCCACAAGAGATTCGAAAGTGCTCTCTCTGTCCTTCTCTCGTGCGCTCCCTCTCTCTCTCTCTCTCTCTCTCTCTCTCTCTCTCTCGCTCTTTCTTAGTCTGCATACGTACATACATACATGAATAGTGAGTGCACGCATGCACTCATACCTACATCATACATACACATACACATATACACATAATATGTCACAGAGGGACCGAGAGAGAGAGAGAGAGAGAGAGAGAGAGAGAGAGAGAGAGAGAGAGAGAGAGAGAGAGAGAGAGAGAGAGAGAGAGAGAGAGAGAGAGAGAGAGAGAGGAGAGAGAGAGAGAGAGAGAGAGAGAGAGAGAGAGAGAGAGAGAGAGAGAGAAAGAGAGAGAGAGAGAAAGAGAGAGAGAGAGAAAGAGAGAAAGAGAGAAAGAGAGAAAGAGAGAGAGAGAGAGAGAGAGAGAGAGAGAGAGGGAGAGAGGGAGAGGAGAGGGAGAGAGGGAGAGAGGGAGAGGAGAGGGAGAGAGGGAGAGGAGAGGGAGAGAGAGAGAGAGAGAGAGGGGGAGAGAGGGAGAGAGGGAGAGAGGGAGAGAGGGAGAGAGGGAGAGAGGGAGAGAGGGAGAGAGGGAGAGAGGGAGAGAGGGAGAGGGTGAGAGAGACAGACAGACAGACAGACAGACAGACAGAGACAGACAGAGACAGACAGAGACAGACAGAGACAGACAGAGACAGACTCGAGGCCCCAGAAACCTCGGCTTCCGTCGGATGAACCGGACCAGCCCACCGCATACTTCTTGCCGTCCCACGGTTGATGTATTGGAGTAGGGTTTAGAGGTTCAGAGTTCAGGGTTCCAACTTAAGGATGCAGGAATTCCTAGGGTTGATGTATGGGATTGGGCTAGAGGGGTGTGGAGTTCAGGCTTCCAACTTAAGTCATGCAGGAATTGCAGTTTAGGGTGTAGGGAGCTTGGCAATGAGGGGTTGCCAGTGGTTAGGATGACGGTTTTGGGATTTGCGCGTACAGCATCTTACGCAGTCTGTGTTTCCTTGAGAGTTTGGCTGTGTCAGGGCTTGGGATTTTTCCAAGTTTTCCTCTGAGGAGGGGCCGTTGGGAAGACTTTTCTTCATTACTATCGCGGAGATACTCATAATCTAGAGCGGGAACTACGTCCGTGGCCATGCTGGAGAGAGAGCACCATTGTCATCCGACTCATCCGACTTCCCCCGATGTACACACCCGTCCGATACTACTGTAACCCAAATCCGTAGCCCCTTCACAATTGACACGAGATGCACGCTCAAACCCACAGCCTCGAAACAGCAGCTCGGAGCCAACAGCATGCTGGAGCCAGATGTTGATTTCTATCGGGTATCACTGTGCCTCTGTCATAGCTAGGGTTTAGGGTGAAGTATCTAATCGCAAGGTGCGCCGTGCAGTACTTGGGGCGGGGTAGTAGTTAGTAGTAGTTGAGGGCTGTTGGGTTATGAGTGCGTGTATGATTTAGGTACTTGGGCCCTATTCATAGGAGGCCAAAAAAGGTTTTAGCCTACGGGGGTTTAGTAGGGATTAGGGCTCCCATGATAAGGTTCATAGTTCATATTCAGGAATCCCTACCCCAAGAATCTGAAGCCCCCCTTCTGGCCTCCCATCACACCGGCTTAAATGCCCTTAACCTAGAGACCCCAATATCCCTGAATTCAGGAATATACCTTAAATTATAGTAGGGTCCCTAATGTGATTTAAGGTATATTCCTTAATTAAGGGATATTGGAGTCTCCGGGAACCCGAACTGCCGAAGTCGATCCTGGAAACTCTGCGACTCAACACTTCCGAAGTCGGGCTCTCCATCTTGGCCCGGCGGCCTTCATAAAGCAGGCTTTTTGGGTTCTCCTCTCGAAATTCTTTTCGCTTTTGTCACAGTAGAAAGCCATGGAGTTGCTAGCACTAGTAGGCTAGTATCTTGATGTTGTCTGCAGGGGCTGTTCGCTGCAAGTAAACCGACGAAGCCGGCAGACCTGCAAGCAGCAGAAATCCTTGCTTCTTAGTAGGGAATGGGGGAATGGATCCCTATGATGGTCCCTTACTGTAGTCTTAGTCTATACCCCATTCAAAATGCCCTACTAAGAATGACAGTCCCCTATACTATATTCGTCCTTCTACTAGGCCCTAAACCCTATACCCCGTTTCCCCAATTCCCTAGTAAGGACTAGGACAAACACTCCTTGAGGCCGGTTTTACCGAAGAAGGCGGTCGCCCAGCGCGAGCCTCCAGCTGACGGTAAGGGCCATAATGGTGCTCGGAACAAGGCCCCCTTGATGCGCTTTTGTTTTGGAGGGGTGGGTGTAGGGATTAGGTTTAGCGATGGAACGAGGCCCGTTGATGTATGTTTGTTTTTTTTGTTGAGGCGGTGGGGCTCTGGCTACCAGAATTACTGCGAGTATGCTTGTTGGAGATCTCTTTCGAGCAGTAGGATCATGATCATCATCTTCAGGCAAATATGCATTTGTCAGAGCTACTTCAGCAGTAACGATCCGGCCTTTTTGTTGTTTTTCAGATGTCGTTGCTTTGGTCTTGAGGTTCTGGGCGCCAGTCTCAAGTGTCGGTGCTGAGCCTCAGGATGCAGTTGTTTGTTGACCTGGTGCGCCCGGAGGACCCCTAAATGCCAACCCTTCGATAGAAGCTCATCTGCCGGTATGGTAGGTAACGGCTCCTTCAGAACCACAGTGTCGTACTCAAGTGCTTCGGCGCTCGTCCTTGAGGCCGCGGTCACCACGAAAGCCAAAGACGAGTCACCTATGGAGGACCAGTGTTGCGGGTTGATATGCTGCCTCGGGGTTTTGGAGTATGGGGCTTACCATAATCTACGTTTTTGTAGCTTTCTATATTCGAATGTACATGACAATCTCGGGTTTGGGGAGCCACCCTTTGGAGGATCAATACTCTCTGACGCATACGGACAGCCTCTCGGTGCTTCTCAGAAGGGCTTGCCCTAAGGATCCATGTAGTCCTGTACTATACAATACAGGGGCTTTTTTATAGTTGCGGCTAGAATGACAGGGATACTATCTCAAATTCTCCCGACCCCTGTTGTTACGTCAGCTTAAATCGTATCTAGGAGGAGCCCCTTCGGGCTCTAGGCATATACCACACGGGCACCTGAAACCTTAGATTTCGCTGATGGCAAATAAGACGTTCCGTTCAAGGTTCCATGTTCCCAAGTCCCCGAGAGCGTCTTGGCGAAACAACCGTCCCTGATGTATTCCACATATCATCTTATGATATGCAAGTCTGAATAAATACCAACATTATTCTTCGGGTTCCCTTTTTCATAATTCACTGTACCACGATATAATATAGTATTCGCCAGGACCCTACTATAATCGCGTTCCTGAAAGGGGGTGTGGGCGACGACATGTTGGCGTTGTTGCATGTACTGTCGCCGAAGGTCGCTTTTCAGGGTTCAGAGTTTGGGGTCAAGGGTCAAGGGTAGCCATAAGTCTTCATCCCTGATTTTAAACCCTAAGCCCGAAAGCTTCTGAGCTCTGAACCCTAAACCGAAAAGCCCCATTCCCTATCCCCCTTAGCCCCAATCCTAAACACCTTAAACCTGACTCAAACAACCCAAACCCTCAAACCCTACAGACGACCCTTGGCCCTTAAATTCTAATTCTAACCCTAAGCCAGCCACCTTAAACCCTACACACCCAATACTCCTGAAAAGAACCTTCCCTAAACCCTAAACCCTAAACCCCTTTAAAGGAACCAGTAGGAGGAGCCCTTAGAGGTCCCCAGGACCCTTAAAGGAACCCTTGAAGGAACCCAAAGCCCCAATAGTCATCGCAGAAGCCCTTAAAGGAACCATTAGCCTTAACCAAAAAATTACCTAAACCCGAAACCCTTAAACCTGAACCCCTAAGCTTTAAATGCCTAAACCCTAAATGCCGAAACACTAAAGCCTTAAACCCCAAGGCATGGATCAAAGGAACCATTAGCCTTAGACAAAAAGCCCTTAAGCCTTGAACCCTATAGACCCGAAACCGTTAAACCCTAAACCCTTAGATCTTATAGACCCGAAACCCTTCTATAAACCCTCAGAACCCTTATAAACCTTTAGATGCCAAGGTATGGATCCTTAAGCTCGAAACCCTTAAACCTGAACCCCTAAACTTTAGATGCCTAAACCCTAAATGCCTAAACCCTAAAACCTCAAATGCCACCCTTAGAGGTACCTAGGACCCTTAAAGGAGCCCTTAAAGGAACCTACTTGCACCGTAAACCCCAAGGCATGGATCGGGTGGATCCGAGTGAGGCGAAGGATCGCCAGCTCTCGGCGCAGAGCGAACTGCTGCAGTTGCACCTGAAGGACACACCGAATTCAGCGCTTAGGGAGTCTAAGGGTTGAGGGTTATAGTCTACTATTTGCTTAAGAAACACCCAAAAAATAAAAAAAATAATAACCCCTATATTACCCCCATAAGGAATAGATTTTTTATTTTTTGGTGGTTCTTAAGCAAATAGTAGTAGTGATTATAGTCCAGGGGTGAAGGACACACCGAACTCAGGGTTTTGGGAGTTTAAGGGGGTTCAAGGTTGAGGGCTTGTAGTGATTAGAGTGTTTAGGGTTGAAGGAGGTGCCGAATTCAGGGCTCAGGGAGTTCAGGGGGGTTAGGGTTCAGGGTTTGAAGTAATTATAGGGTTAAGGTTGAGGGTTTAGGGTTCGAGGCTAGGGCTTATAGTGATTAGAGTGTCTAGGGTTGAAGGACATCGAATTCAAGGTGTCGGGCCTAACGTATCGGGTTTAGTATGCCGAATTCAGCGTTCAGGGTTTCAGGTTTAGGGTTTATAGTGTTCAGGGTTGAAAGACATCGGTTTCAAGTTTTGGGGCTTAAGGTTTACGGTTTAGTATACCGAATTCAGGCTTTCGTGCTCAAGGTATCAGGTTTATAGTGTTTAGGGCTGTAAGGTTGCAGGCCACCGAAATACAGTAGACCCCATAAAGTTGGAAACCGGAGTAAGGCCAAATAGTGCTGGGATTCCCTCTAGATGACTCTTAAGGTTTGAGGCTATTGGGTTTCCAACTCTTGGGCTTCTACCCTAAGGGTTTAGGGCTTCAGGTATAGATGTTCGCATGTCGGGTTTAGGCTTTGGGGTGAAGGGCCTTGGGGCTCTAAGTTCATGGGTTTAGGATTCAAGGTTGATACTATAGTCTCTTTAGGATTTTTTTGTTCTTGTTCATTTGATAACCAAAAAAATAATACAAATTCTTATTGTGGTTCTAAAGGGGGTATAGTATAGGATTTAGGATTCAGGGTTTAGGATCTAGGGGAGGGTAGGACCGGGTACCGGTGAAGGCTGATATAAGGAAAGAGTAGCCAGCAGGCTTCTACAACAGGGGTTTGAATCTTCAGGGTCTGAGTTTAGGGCTATCGGGTCGATTATAAAAGAGCTGGCCTTCGGACCTATACATTGCTAGAATCAGATCTTAGGCATGAGATTTCAGAGTTTTGGGTCTGCAGGGTTGCTCATGGTTCAGGAAAGAAGTGCCCCGTACCACACCCTGCTGTTACAAGAGGATCCTTGCATCCAGACTTTTCCCATGCAGGGCTTCAGTTGACACTTCTGCAAGCCCAAACCCTAAACCCTAAAACCCACGACACCCGCAGCAAAACTCTGGCAATACGTGGAAGCACCTGCAACCCTTATCCCAATTTCTGTGTCAGTCAGACCTTGGAGGTTCCGCGGGGCTTAGGGTTTAGTGTCTTGGCACAGAGGGTCCAAGTACCAAAATAGTATATAGGGGTTTAGGTCCCAAAATCCATACTCTGAATGGTTTTTGGACCTTGAAACCTTACCATTTGGGTACTTGGACCCTTAGGGGAACCGCAACTGCCTTGCGTTGCCGCAAGGCTACCGGCCAAGTCCAAGTCTGTTCCATGAACATCCGTCGAAACGAGCTCAATCCCGAAAGAACCAAACTGGGAAGCCATGAGCCCCTAGAACATAAAAGCCTTCTCGGCGAGGGTGGGGAGTCTAGATTCTTTGTTCATGGCTGCTTTTTGGTGGAGCTGCGTGAACCCGAAATACCGACAGGGATGCCAACTTATGTGTACTAGCAATCAAGCCCAAAGCAGTGAACTTGCCAGTGCCCCGACGATGACATGGGCTTCGAGTTCTTCGGATTTTCTCCAGGATCTAGGAGTCTAAGGGTTTAGGCCTGATGGTTTAGCAGTGTAGTAGAGTAGGTAACCTTTAACCTTTCTCGGGTAGTACAGTCCCTATATCGTCCCTATATAACCAAAAAAGGTTAACCTTTATTTCCCCAGGATACCCGACAAGTAGGTTAGTGTTTAGGGTGTTTAGGGCATCCCCCGTTTTGGCAGGCTATTGCAAAGCCACAGCAGCCTCAGTTGCAGCTCTCGCGATCGCTGTTCCACTCCACGCTTTCCGGCTGCAGTGCGCTAAGCACCCATGCTCTCTAGCGCAAATCCGGGGGCCTTACAATAATTACAATAGGATTTTGGGGCCCGTTATGCTTTAATCATAGTAGGGAGCGCCCCCCCGCTCCCTCAAGACAACATAAAAAATAGTACTGCGTGGTAGTTATTTAGGCCCCTTTTTCAAACACCCTGAACCAAAACCCTTACATTGTGTCCTTGTGTTGTTGGATAGTTACCTATCCACTGCAGCTCTGACGACGACCGCTACTAGCCAAGCGTTTTGCTGGGTCTGCGATGCCTGCTCGTCCCACTGTTGGTAGTGTTGCTGTCACTGTATGGACCGCCCTGCTGCGGCCGCTCATACTACTGCTGCTACTACTGCCACTGCTGCCGCTGCTGATGTTGCTGCTGCTGCTGCTGCTGCCAGGACTCTTGCTGCTTCTGCTGCTACTGCCCCTGCTACTAATTGGAATACTGACAAAATCCGTATAAAAGCGAAAGTCCTAATGGTTCTCAGTACGATAACACCCTTAAGAATACTCGTGGCCCTAACTTCTGCTGTCCCGGCGTGACACGGAGGCATCCTGCGTTGGGCTCCCTACAGCCCACAGTTCAGAGCACCCCTCAAGACGGGCCAGCCCTAAGTTGATTTGATACTGCCGATGGACAAAATCATGCATTACCCATTATAAGGAATATACCATAATTCCCATAGTTTAGAGTCCTTAGGGTCATGCAGGATTTTGTCCATCAGCGGTAGCATAGCAGGTTCAGCATGATACCGGTAATTGAAAGGTCAGAAGACGACTAACCGTTGATATTGGAGGAGCTAAGGAGCCAGGGATGATGATAATCCCTTTTGAATAAGGAGCTAGAGATCCAAGGGAGCCCCAAACCACTGGTTAGACGATCCCCGAAGGCAAAATCTCAGGGAGCTGCGACAGTTAGTGAAATTGCGGTTAGGCCAATGGATTCTGCCTTCAGTGTCGTTACTGGTTGTTGACCCAGGCTGTTGGCGTTGAACGCCATGGGCTTTGGGTTGCTTCATGCGACATGAAGCTTCAAATTTGCAGATCCGCCGAGCAGCAACATGAACCACAACATGTAGGTCCTAATGCTATCTTAAGTTGCCCTGCCATGTTGTGGTTGGTATGAATCTCTAGATTCAAATACTTGCTGCATGCCCTGAGGACCACGGATATGGGAAGCGAGGATGGCGGCATCCATTTAGAGGCATCTGAAGCCTTCCGCAGGCTACTGGAAAGTCTGTTGCAGCAGCACGCCGCTGGGCAAGGATGCTGAACATTAAGGGTTTACGAAGTTGGTGCTGGATGTGATATGTCTTCAGCAAGCAGTGGATAAAGGCCTTCTGGCGGACATCCTAGAGTCAGCAGACGTAGCATGCTGCTGCTACTGTCCTCCTGTTTTTGGGGTCTCCGATAATAGGGGACCCTAATATCGTACCCCCAAATAGAAGGATCCTTATTATAAGGACCCCAAAATAAGGTAGCCCTAATTCTCGAAAACTCCCATATCGGAACTCTGGAGCCCGGACCTCCTCGCGCTCCGAAACAGCCGTTGTAACTCTGGAGCCCTGAACCCCCCAGACCTTCCAAAATCCCTCAATTAAGGAATATACCTTAAATTCTATTAAGGATCCTATTTTTACTTAAGGTATATTGCTTAATTAATTGCTTTGGGAAGGTCTGGGCCTGAACCCCAATCCCTGAACTACCTTACTACAGACCTTAAGATTCGCAAACCTTAAGCCGCAGGCTCGCAGAAGTCACATGGGTGGTGTCCCTTTTTGGGTCCCCCCTAAATAATAGGTGCCGTATTATATTAGGGACCCCACAAAAGGGACCATAATTTTGACAACCACCCATATAGTATATTATATACTTAGGCCTTAACAAGTGCCTATATACGGACTCCTTTAAGGCTTAAGTATCTACGCAGGCTCGCAGAAGTCGCATGGATGAAGCCCGCATGCCCTTTGCCCGAAGCCGCCGAAGCAAAGACTGGAGCCCATCCTCCGACAAATCCGGCACAAAAGTAACCCAGAGACTCTAATATCCCTTAATTGAGGAATATTCCTTGAATTATAGTAAGGATCCCTAATATGATTTAAGGTATATTCCTTGATTAAGGGATATTGGAGTCTCTGGGAACCGGCACTTGAAGATAGCTCCCCTAAACCCTAAACCCACGGTTTGGGGTTCAGGGTAAAACCCTAAACCCTAAACCATCGTGTTGATAGTTCTACCTTCTTTGATTTGGTAGAAAGAAGAAGCAAAAGCAGATTTGAGGATGATCTCTACTCAACTCTCCGTTATTGGGCTTAGGAGGATCTCAGGTACTCAGCAACCCTAAACCCTAAACCCGAAACCCTAAACCCTAAACCCTAACCCCCTAAACCATTTTGCAGAGGCTTGGGGAAGTCTAGGCTGGATTAGCTCCAGCCCAAACTGCATTGGGATCGTCCCTTAATCAAGGAATATGCCGAGGGTTCCTTTAAGGGATCTATAAGGGATCTATAGGGTTTAGTATCCCTTATTTAAGGAATATTCCTTAAATCATATTAGGGATCCTACTATAGTTTATGGTATATTCCTTAACTAAGGGTTATTGGAGTCTCTGGCTAGTCGGTTTACCAAACCGCCCCGAACCCCCGACCCCAAACCAAAGCTTGTAGTAAAGATTCGGTTTCAAGCGCGGGAGTCAGCGTTTAAAGTTTTTAGGTTTGGGTTTGGGAGATATAGGCAGCCCTCAGAGAAAGGGTTAGTCCCCGATCATTGAGCCACCATGCGCGGCTCAACAAGCTGTATACGTCTAGAAGGCGACCAAGAACCAGAAGAGGGCTTGTGTTAGTGATTACCCAACTAGAACTGTCGCAGAACACCCCAGTCCAAGAATTCCAAGAAAATGCAAAGACCTGCTTAGCACTAAGCACTCTATCCCCCTCTATACCGTAGATCCTAGGTAGTATGAGGGAGACCCAATCAAGACGACCATTCTCAACTCTACTTCTGGATCTCTTAAGAGGGACCTTTTTCAGACGGTCTAAATCCCCAAGGGTCCCCCTAATCCTGAATCCTAACTCCCGGTACAAGCTCAACACCGAATCCACAAAGCTTGTAGAGCAAGCCCCGAACCCCACAGCCCAATTATTGAGTTCCCGAGCGAATTCCCGACCTATTTCTCTGGACCTGGGTTTAGGATTTAGGTGTTACCCCACCCTAAACTCTAAACCCCCAAGCCCTAAACCGAAAACCCAAAGCCCTCAACCCCAAACCCCGAACCCTAAACCAAGATCCCAAAGCCCTCAACCCCAAACCCTTTTGCACTTACAGCCAAAGGTGCGGGAGCTGAACGACCTTGCCTCGATCGGTGCAGCCGGCACCCGCAGTAGGCCCCTTGTTCGCTACCCTAAGGGTCCAAGATGGTCCAAGTATCTCCTTAGGGAGGGTCCGGAATCTCCTAGATAAAGCCCTTGGGTCCAGGATCTTTTTGGCAGCTAAACTTTGAACACTAAAGTCGGGTTCAGGTGCTCGTAGCACTAAACTAAACCCCAAAGCCCCCAAAGTCAAAACCGGCCCAAAACCCACAACGGCTAAACCCTGAAAACCTGGACCTCGGGCTTTGGGGTTTGAGGGATGAGGGCACCCCACCGCTCCCGAAGAAAAGCCTCGAGATCATTGGAACGGTTGATGTTATAAATCCTGCGTTACCTTAAGGACCCCTAAACTATGGGAATAATGGTACATTCCTGATTATGGGTAATGCAGGATTTGTATCATCAACCGAAGATCTTCACTAAATCCCCCCAAAGAGCCGACCATAGGGGCCTTTGTATTTTGACTTGGGTTTTGGGTCATATGGAATGCATGTTTTTGATAGGGAGCCCGAATAAATGCCATTGGCAGTTACTCTGGTTTCTACATGAGTGGTTGTCAAAATTAGGGTCCCTTCTTGGGTCCCTATTTGGTACGGCACCTCATATTTAGGGTACCCAAAAAGGGACCATAATTTTGACAACTACCCACATGAAATTGAAGACCGTCTGAAGATCTGAACCAGAAAGCCTTGACGCGAGGACCACGGAGCCCAAGCTCAAGTCCAATCCGACGTCTCCGAACTCCGTCTTCAGCCGCGTGACGAAAGAAATGGACAGCAGCTTGGACCTTTGGAGTTCATGTGGCAATATTACAGTAGAAGCCAGAAAGTTGGAACATCATTGTCCCCATGCCCTTAAGGTAAAGTATAAGGGATCCTAGCACTAATCACTAATCCTCCTAAAGCCATGCTCCAACTTTCTGGCTTCTACTATATATTAGGGCCCCTGTCGGGGTCCTTATCATAATACCGCACCTAATATGTAGGGTACCGAAAAAGGGGCCATAAAGTTGACAACTACCCATTTGTTCAGGGCTGTTCGACATGATTAGGGACCCAGAAAAGCACACAAGCATAAGCATTTTATAGGGATATCCCTACTTTATTGGGCTTCATGATAAGGGGGTTTATATGGGATATCCCTACCCTATTTTTTGCTTATGTGCTTATTTGGGGCCCTGATGATGGTCTCTTCGATGAGGCCTAAGAAGACCTCCGGTCGTTAATCAGGTAGCCTTTAGTTTGTCAGGGGTGTCTGCAAAGACTCGCCGGCTGACCTCAGGTATCGAGTGTATGTTTGACCTTTGTGGCGGTGGGTGCCAGGCTTACTCAGTGTTGTTTTGTCTTGGCGGTGCAGGCGGCTTGCCGAGAGCAGAGAGACTGTGTCTTCGAAAACGAACCTTTTCGGCAGCCGTATCAGCAGTAGAATCATTGCAGATTCTCTCATACATCTGAGCACTGCATCTGTGGCAAAGCTAGCATGGGAAGATGCTGGACATATGGTCTGGGGTGTACTCTGAACTACACACTACACCCGCCCTAAACCGACAGATCCTATCAGCACTGCGCTCCTAAGCTTCGCCGTTGAAGGCCCTTGCAATGGGAACAGGCTTTGAGGGGTTACTGCTGTCTATTCAAGAAGATCGATAATAAGATTTTTGTTGTGGGCAGCTATTGTCTTGCAGTTATAGCGGTACCGTAACTAGGTGGCAATTTGGGAAACTTTTGAATTTCCCTTATGTCTCCTTTAGAGGTACCTATTCACAAATACTTTTCAGAGCCGCGAAACTACAACCCAGGTACAGTAGAAGCCGGAAAGTTGGAATATCATTATCATAATCCCTTTAAGGTAAATTCTAGGGGATCCTGCCATTATTCCATATTCCAACTTTCTGGAGTTCCCTTTAAGGCATAGTCTACTGCTTGTCGCTCCGACCCGGAAGCTTGCCCCGGCCGAAAGGTCTCAACCCGAATCCGTGAATTGAGATAGAAGCCTTACTGTTGATATGATTTCTTTATATACGTCGTTTAAAAGGTAGGTTACTTGGGGTTAAGGTTAAACTATACTACCGTTGATGATACAAATCCTGCATGACCCATAATGAGGAATATACCGTATTTCCCGTATATTCCTTATTATGGGTAATGCAGGATTTATAACATCAACCGTAGTAGTATGTAATACTACTCTTTAGGACTCCCTATGATGGCCACTGTAGTGTAATTCTTAAAATCACGGACCTACAAGAACCCGATCCTTGAAGCCATATGCATGCAATGCACTTCGAAGCTTGTCTTCACAAGCCGAAAGTTTCATGGCTGGTCATCACGGCATTCACTGCACAGCGCACCAATCTTTCGTGTTTCACTACGGAATCCTGATAGAACCCCTCTCGACATCTTTACCAAGAACCCTTGGAGGAGCCCTATACTACGCATTGAGGCCCCTGTATCACCAAGCGCAGCCCAAAACCCGAAACAACCCCAACACCCTAAATCCCTATTCCCTATACCCTAAAATCCTAAAGCCCCGAAACCCTAAAACCATAAACCGTATTAGAAAGCCCAGAATGCGTCTCGGACAACGTGGATTCCATTTTGGCTTCGACTGGACTCCGCCTGTTTCAGGTGCGGTTCATTCCGGGCTTCGAAGGGAAGATCGGGCGTCTGGTGTACTGACCTTTGGCCAGTAGGGAATGGAGGAATGGTAGGGTTCCTTTCCAGGGATCCTTAAAGGGATCTATAGTAGGGTTCTATATTAGGAACCTTAAAATATAAAATTTACCTTTGGTTAGTAGGGAATGGAGGAATGGGGTACAATTGTAGCTACTATTAGTACCATTCTTCCATTCCCTACTAACCAAAGGTAAGTGTAGGGTTGAAGGTTTAGGGTTTCGTGCTCAGGTTTTACGGTTGACGGTTTAAGTTCAGGGCTCTTAGCCTAAAGACGCATGTCGCGAGGTCGTACCCGGCATACCGTCGGATGATGTGTCTGTGTTGGCTACTGCAGTTGTATGCACAGCTTCGGTGTATATCTTCGGTAGGGATTTGTGCTTGTCGGTTTTCAGCGACTGAGCTTCGACATTCAACTGTGTCCGGCACAAGACAATTTAATGCAGGGCTGGGAAGTTTTAGCCTAGTAGTCCAGTAGGTAACCTCTAACCTTTTTTGGGTAGTATAGTCCCCATTTAATCCCTATATAACCAAAAAGGTTAACCTTTAGTTCCCCCTGATACCCGACAAGTAGGTCAGGGTTTGGTTCTAAAAATTTATAGGGTTCGAGCTTGCAGATTTGCGATTACGGGTGTGGGAATGTGGGTGATAAAGCACCTTTGCGAGGATGCCCAGTAGTACGCTTATTCCCTTTTGTAGTCCGAGCTTCCTTTTCAAGTTACCCAATACCAAAAAGGGAGCCTTTTTATTCCTAGCTTCCTGGGCATCCTTTGCGAGCAGGCCAGAAACATTCTGGACGTCCTGGATGGTGACCAGCAGGAAGTCTGCAGTTCCTGTTCGCGGGTCAGCCAAGCGCACCTGTGCTACCAGTAAATATAAACATAAAGCTACATTGAAGGCTAGAAGACCCCAAAACCCTGAGCTCAACAATGTGGCATGGAAGGTTAGAGGCACTTGTGATGGGATTCGGGTGAGAGCTGTCGGCTTTCTAGGGGTAGAGTTTAGGGATACAGGGCTCTCGGCTTTGTCGAGTGAAGAATGTAATGCATAGCGCCTGTGAAGCCTCATCGTAGTCGCCGTTCTCGTAGCATTAGAAGCACCAATACGAGCACTAGCACAAAAGCTGGCATTGGCACTGACACCGGCAGTGTGGCAGTAGCAGTGGGAGTAGCAGTAGCAATAGCAGCCGCAGCAGCAGCAACAGTAGCAAGAGCAGAGGCAGCAGAAGTACTAGTAGTAGTAGTAGTAGTAGTAGTAGTAGTAGTAGCAGCAGCAGCAGCAGTAGTAGTAGCAGAAGCAGCAGACGTAGTACGAAGAGGAGACGAAACTTCACAGTTTGAAGAATCAACCTCCCAACCCAGGACTCCAAACCCTGAATCCCTCTTTTTCTAGCGTACACAACGCAGAGACTAAGGCGTGCAGGTGTCAAGCAGGTAACTTTAAGCCTTTTCGGTGCAAGATGCCTTGAAAGCTCAAGGTGATGCGGCATTCCGGCCCTAAACAAAATCCTATGACCCCTAAAACACTGAAGCGTAATCCCTGGCCCCTGAATCCCAAGCGCTAAATCATGCTCGAAAATCCCAGACCTTAACTGTGAGAGAAGGCCGGACCCTAAACTTCAATTCCTAATGGACCCTGAAACTTAGATCCGCGAGACCTAACCTTCAAACTTTTTGGATTCTTATAGTTTAGTAGGAATTGTAAAGATTGACCTTTCATTTCTGTGGCTTACTGGGGTAGTAAGGAAACCCTAAATTCAAAATCCTAGGTCCTACCTGGGTCCGGCTAAGCCTCAGCTCCTCACTGTGGTTTCCTCATGTACGTCCGGAACAAGGTTGCAGGTTTTATTTCGGAAGAAGGTAGAACATGAAAGGCTAAGAGACTGCAAGCCTGAGCCCTAAAGCCTGTAAATCCTAGGATTTTGCTTTAAGATACCGTAATTTTCGGGTTCCTTTAAAGGATCTATAAGGGTTCCTTTAAAGGGTTTAGGGCTTACCCCCCTGATTCCAAGCACAAGTGGTAACCCAAAAATCTAAATCCCAGACACAGGAGCTGTTTGAAAAGCCGAAGGGTCACCGCCTCTCACGGCAACTCGGATGAATGCGGGGTCCGGGAAAGCCTGAAGTTGTTGTATGTTGTATGGATTTAATAGGGTTTAGGGTTTTGGGTTTCAAGGCTTTGTTCTCTTCAGTTTTGGGGGTTCGAGGGTTCTATGAGCCTGGAGCTGTTAGGGTTAAGGCTCTGGATTTCAGGGTCCAGGGTCTTCGGCTGACGCCGAAAAGACCAGGGGCACGCTTGGGGGTTTGAGGGTTTATACACAATCCAAGGCCCTATTAAGGGACAACTCTAAAGCCTAATTGAGGGTATCGGACCCCTATTCCGCTCGAGGAGTTTAGGAAGGTATCCTGGAGCTGTGGAGCTTTGGTCGCCTGTGTGTAGGGCTTTTGGGCTCTGGGCATTGCAGGGTTCAGGGTCTACGTGGCTGGCTTTCATAAACTGCCAGGACATGGAAGCATGACGACGTCAACGGGAATTCATGTGGAGACATGGGACCCCCCGTATGAAAGTCTGCATGGTAGCTTCCTTAGCAGAAGTAGGAAGGGATCTCTAGTTTCAAGAGACAAATTGCCAAGGAAAAGCTCGGACTTTCTGCCAGAGCTCTTTGAGGACTCGGGGTGAAGATCGAACAGGGCTTGGGGTTTAGGTTTAGGGTTTACCAAAACATGTTGGGTTTAATTTTGCATGCGGAGGGAGCTTAGGGCTAAGTGAGTAGAGTAGCATTCAGGGAGAGTGAGAAGTCTTTCTCATTTCGTAGCTTTTCTTGTTTGCCTTGGCTCTGATTCAGCAGATCTGGGGTGGAGACGACGGTTGCACCTGAGCCCTCAGAGTCTGCTATAAGTATATCCCCAACCCCTACTCTAGCTATTAAGGCCCCTTACAGTCACCCTCATAGAACCCTTGACAGGCACCCTAAAGCCCTAAGAAACCTTATTCTGATTATCGCTACCTTTACAGTCAGTCTTATATGCCCCTGCATTACAAGAAACCCCAAACCCGTAAACGCCGCAATCCCTAAACAATTACCAAAGTGCCACTATAGTACATAGGCACTTAGTAGATATTTGGGTTTCAAAACTTTAATAAGGAAAATGTTGTTTTTCCCAAAAGTACATACTATACTACTACTCGGACCCTTGGGGTTGCAAGCATGTTCAGGACTCGGAGGAGCAGACAACTAACTCGTACAAGGATCTCTCGGCTGCAGGGTCTGATCACAGGTCAAGTTGGGTATCGAGTTCAGGGTTTCTGGGTTTGTTTATGGTTTTGTAACGGTTTTAGGGCGTATGGCTTTGTGTAGGGTTTTGTATCGATTCGAGGGTTTATGGGTTTGTTGATGGTTGTGTATCGATTTTAGGGTTTATGGGTTTGTGCATGGTTTTGTTTCTATTATAGGTAGTATGGGTTTTGTTTATGGTTTTGGGTGCTGGTGGTCAGCTTGAGTGTCGATTCGGGACTGTTTTGTGGTTGCTGTGTACGGCTTGGGGTCGAACGGTCGATTCAGCTTCCAACAGCATGTAATGATGCGGGTTGTATGCGAAACATGTATCTTTTCGTGACATGATTCAGTGGAGTAGGATTGCCAAAGCCCCCAGCCACGTTGCCACATTATAACAGCAAACCCCATAAAGTTGGAGGCCGGTTTAAGGCCAAATAGTGCTGGGACTCCCTTTACATTACTCTTCAGGATTGAGTGAACTCAACCATGTAAGTCGTACTACCCGTGAAGCGATGAGAATACAAAACCGAATTTAAAGCTTGCAGTCTTTCGGAACCCGCGCAAGGATCAAACTCTAGTTTAATCCCCCCGTGCAGGCAGCCGGCCAGAGGATGAAGGAGATTATTCAAATTTGAAACTTAACCTTATCAGTCTGCTGCAAAACGTCCGATAACTCTCTGCCTCCCATTCATGAGGGACCCAAAAAGCACATAAGCATAAGCATTGTATGGGGATATCCATACCTTACTGGGCCTCATTAAAAGGGGCTCTATATGGGATATCCCTATCCTAATTTTTGCTTATGTGCTTTTGGGGGGCCCTAATTCAAGGATTCCCAAAGCCGAAATCCTAACCCATAAATCCGTCAACGGCCATTAAGCCCAAATCCACAAGCCCGCCCATCAGGCCCTATCATGGTGCCACCGTGCCCTAAACCCTAAGCCCTAAGCCTTAAACCCTAAGCCATAAGCCCTAAACCCTGAGCCTTAAAGCCTAAGCCTTAAACCCTAAGCCTTAAGCCCTTTAAGCCCTAAAAGCCCGAAAGCCCAGCAGGCACTACCATGGTGTCACCGTGCCCGCATCTGGTTTCAGTCGGCCGGATACGAGATGGCTCCTTGGCCGAGACAGCCAGAGACTCCAATATCCCTTAATTAAGGGATATACCTAGGGTTCCTTTAAGGGATCTATAAGGGATCTTTAGGCTTTGGGGGAGTCTAATATCCCTTAATTATGGGCCGACGCAGCTTACCCTTGGGTTAGTAGGGAGTGGAAGAATGATAGTAATACTGTTGATGATATAAATCCTGCATTACCCATAATGAGGAACATATGGGAACTATGCTATATTCCTCATTATGGGTAATGCAGGATTTATATCATCAACCGTAGTAGGTCTTTTAGTAGGTATAATTTATAATTGTACCCCATTCCTCCATTCCCTACTAACCAAAGGTAAGCACAGGGGGCTGCAAAAGTCAGAGACTGTTCTCTGAGGGACTTCAAAAGAGTTCTAGCATAGAAGGACGCTGTGAGGGCGCTTCATGAGATGGCTTTAGGGTTTCTAGTTTGACAGGGTTTAGGGCTGCGGGGGGAGCTCCATCAGGGTCTCAAGTGCTAGAAGGCTTTGCAGGCTCTTACAGTGTTCTAGAAGAGTTCTATATAGGTTTTGTAGGGTGGTCCCAAAAGTTAGTATTCATGTCCCCACCTGCTCCACCCTCTCCTGATTTTTGCGGCCGTTCTACTAAGGCCTGATCGCCTCTGTAAACCCTCGAAGAAAGAACCCCATCCTGCAAGCATGGCTTCGACTCCAGGAGCCTGTTACTTACAGCTATCTGGGCTTTGGACCAGCAGTGCAGCGTTTTTTCTGTTCTGGGGTTCAGGGTTTAGGCCACGATTTCCGAGAAAAGGGGCTTCGTGTCCGACGGAAGACCCGACCAAGCCCCAAGCCCTGTGCCCATACTCTCCATTGGAGTTCCTTTTTTTTTGGGGGGGGGTACCTTGTAGGATCCTCTTTTATATGATTGGTTAACCACAAAACAGAACTACAAAGAAGACTATAGGTAGACCCTAAGCCTTCATTGAGTCTACTGCTTTGGTCACGAAGCCTTAACCTTATCAAAGGCTGCAGCCTGACACCGAGACCTGATACAGAACACCCTGAACCCTAAACCACCAAATCCCAGGGAACGCGTCTTGAACCTTTATATCACAAAGTCCTAGTCAACCCATACAACCCACTAAACCGACGGAAGACAGGTTATTGCACTGGTGCTCTGTGTCAACGTTTTGTGGATGGCGTTCGAGCTGCAACTCTACGGTGCTCAGCCGCCTATCTCAAACTTAAAAGCTGGGGCTCATAAACGGTTCTTTGACGAAACATGAGCCTTACGGCTCAACTAAGTGAACGCACGGCGCACGAGTTATGCTCGGAAGGCTTAAAAGGTCCGCCGGTTGGAGGCGTGTGTCAGGGCATCCACTCAAAAACTCACCTCGATCATCCAATTAGCTGGCCTGGGCTTGGCTCATGTCTTCGAAGTCTCATCAGATTTCACTAAAGCCCCGAAGGCATCGCTAGCTTCCATACCTTTATACCCTAAACTATAAACCCTAAACTCTAGAATCGAGAAGAAGACATTCAAAAACACCTCTGGAGATTAGAGGCTCCCGTTTTCTGTCTTGCGACACCGTGTCCCAAGTAAGCCGCTAGGTGTAAGCCCTATATGGGGGTTTCCGAAAGTTAGGGGTACCTTATTTAGGAGTCCTTATAATAAGGATCCTATTATTTAGGGTACTATATCAGGGTCCCCTATTTTCGGAAACTCCCATATGCAAACACTATTGCACCCTAAGCCTGCGTAGTCGAGTTCTGGCTAGGGCTTTGCGAGTCTGTGTGAAGGGTGTTGAGGTCAGATCTGGGAATACTTTCGGAACCCTCAAGCCTAAACCCATCTATACAGGCCGCCAAGGTCAGCGATGGTTTCCTTTTCCGATCTGAACAGAAGAAATTTCAACCCGTGATGAATTGAGTAGAACCTCTCGAAAGCCCATACGGTTTCATGGTCCCTGTTATCATCCCAAATTAAAGAGACTTCATGCATCAGACGTCAACAGCATGACTCAACTCGAAACCCCGACGCGCCTTCTTGGCTTCACCCAGGACCGGGGGCACCCTGGCAATTCAGGAGGCGCCATTGCGCTTGGGGCTTGGGTATAAGTGAGGGCTATAAGGGTTTAGGGGTAAACTCCATGAGTTTGGTGGAATTGAACTACCAGGATGTTCCTTATGGAGGCACAATCACAAACGCTGTACCCACAACCAAGAACATTCACAAGCCCTAAGCCCGAAGAGCTAGACAGGCAAAGCCGAAATCCCTGGATCCGCAGGCTAAGCCCTACTACGGGCCTCAGATGGCCTCTGCTTTCTGAACCTGGAGACCCACAGCCCCCAAAACCCACGGTTTGGGGTTTACGGTTTATGTAAACTCCCATACCTGTACCCTAAGCCTTCAACCCTAAACTCTTAACCGCACCCCGCACCCCTCGCACTTCTCAGTTACTTCAAAGTCCGTTGGAGGCTGTAAAGGAGGGTCAGGGTCATGACTACTACCCGAAGTTTGGCTGCAAGAGGGGTGCAGGTTTCACTCTGCTACTTCCACGCCTATGACTGCTTCTGAGCCCCTGGTCTTCACGACCTGTGAACCTTTCGGCAGACTCATTAGAATGAGCCCTACTTTAACCCCAAACAAGCCTTCCTTCGCAAAGGACTATAACTTCATCGGGTACCCGAATCTCAGATTAATCTACCGTCGCTAGGATTGTAACTCTATAAGATACGCTCCGACTGGCATAGGGTATAAGAAACCTGCCTTAGCCCCATAGATATCCTACTACACAGGCTTTGGCTTAGATAGTGAACGGGAGAACTTTAAACTTGTTGGCCATATATTTTTGCTCTATCTGAGAAAGTTTGAACTTTTTGGGGCCCGGTTGTTGAAGAAGAAAATTGCTAGGATGCCCAGTAGTACCCTTATTCCCTTTTTGTAGTCCTAGGTTCCTTTTAAAGTTACCCAATACCAAAAAGAGAGGATTTATTCCTAGGTTACTGGGTATCCTAGCCTCAACCCTAAACCCTAAACCCTAAACCCCTAAACCCTAAACCCTAAGTTCCGAAAGGCACCCAGCCTCGACCATGACTGGTGGGCTGAGTTCTTCACGATCGGGGACATTACGTTTGCAGGCTGGTTGCTTCTGGTTTTAGAGCTTTGGGTGTGGTGCGTATCTATGGACATTTGCATGTTTATCTGCATATGTACTAATATATGTGTATACATATATATATATATGTATACATATGTATATAGATATATATATATATATATATATATATATGTGTATGTGTGTGTAGATGTATGTAGGTGTGTGTATGTGTATATATATATATATATATGCATACGTATGCATGTGCACATTTGCACGTCGGTTGAGGGACCTGTTGGAGTTCGGCTAAATCTGCGTTTCTGTCGATTGCAATTCCAAGACGTTGTACTTTGCCGGAGTTTGCACAGTGTGTATATGCTATACATATATACAGAAAAAATAGTCACATACAAACCGTATATTTTGTACACATAATATTCAGATTTACATGGGTGTAGCTGAATTGGGCAGCTATCAATATTGATTTTCGCTTTACAGTTATCTGTCCAAAACTCCATTGCAGCCGAAACTCAATCATTTGAGGCGTCCTATTCCAGGCGCCTGGTGCATGGCGATATGGGGGTGTCCGAAAATACGGGACCCTAATATAGTATTCTAAATAATAGCATCCTTATTACAAGGATTCCAAAATAAGGTACCCCCATTTTTTGGCAACCCCCATATAGGATCGCATGCTTGACATCTCCAGCTATATAAGGGGTCCACGGAAGGGTGCTTTTTCACGACAGAAGACTCTTAAACTTATAACACCCTATAGGCCCTAAGCCCTAAACCCCAAACCACAACATCCTAAGCAGCATAGCCAAAACCCTAAGCTCCAAAACGCAAGATCCTG